GCCGGGAGCCGCTGGCACGGAGGTGCCGAGGCTTTTCCCAGCCCCACGCCTGTCCGGAGTTGCAGGAGTGGAGAACAGCCCAGGAGATGGTGATTTTAAACACCGTCTTACAAAATCAGCGGCGGTATTGGGAGGGAGGCACCTGGCAGGGACTCTTGCTGGAGTCCAAAAGGGTGCTGAAGTCGAACGGCGAGAGCAGCGGTCGGCGTGAAGGGGGGATGCTCGGTGGGGAGCGTGCCGCAGCCATCCCCGGGCAGGGACCGGCGTCCGCCGGCTCTTCGGTGGGGTGCATTGGCCTCCCTCCCTCGCCGCCCAGGGGTCTGGGGATGTTGGACCTCTGAGTATTTTTTTTTATTATATTGTATATTACATTATGTTATATCATATCATATTTATTTGATATGGTTTATATTATATTATACTATACTTTATAGTGCTCTGCTGCCCGCGTTCAGCATCCCCCAGCCAGGCAGCATCTCCGCAGCACAGCTGGGTCCTCGCCCCACACCTTCCTTTGGCTACTTGGGTTGTAGGAGAAACCAAGTCCTTGGGAACAAAACCCCCACGACCTTGCAAAGATTCACGTATGCAGACTTCCATAGGAGGCTCGTTAATGACTGTTGTGCTATTACTTGGGACTAATTTTTGAGGGGGGAATACAAAGAATCAGGTTCAGTGTTCTGCAAAGCCCCATTCCCCAGGCCCTGGGCATCCCGGAGGCTCTGGGGATGTCAGTCACTGAGGGGAGCCGGAGCTCGGCACACTGGGTTTACTCCCAGCCTGAATGTGTGTGCTATGTTATGTAAGGAGCAATTAAAGCTACTGTTAGTTATTATTTGATAATCATGAAGAATGTGTTCAATGCTAATACAAGGCTGCTCTTTGACCAGAGGGGACTACACTGAGATAAAGGTCCCAACAGCGAGGTTTAATTTTTAAGCTGCCCCGTGCTAGCTGGGGGCCACGTGGGAGCATCACCTCTGAACGCGCCGTGGCAAGCAGCGCTTCCTTCACCCGTCTGTGCTTCTACTGCTGCTGTTACTCCTTGTTTTAACACCGGCAATAACAAAGAACCGTTTGCAATACTGAAGGAGCTGATGCTCCATGCGTTCGGCACGTACAGGAGTTGCTGCCACGGCCTTGGCTTTGCCGAGGTGCCCCCAGCGGAGCAGATGGGGACAAGGAGGAGAGGGCACAGGGACATGGCAGGACCATGGGCACTGCCCACGGGGTTGCTGCGGTGGTCAGGACCTTTGGTGCGAGATGCTCGGGGGAGCGGAGCTGCCTGGCAGCAGCTGCAGCGATGGGATGGGGATGCGCTGGCCCCGCTCCACTTTTGAGGGGGAAGCAAGGCTTTTCGCAGAAGCAGAACTTTCAAAATTGCAACAAAACTTGCAGCCATGCCATCTTCCTCACCCGTGGTGGGCTCCAGAGCTGGCTCACGGCTGCTGGCCAGCTGGCAGCATGCACTATGCTGTATTTTATATACATCTATATAAACTGTGGTACCATCTTTACCGAGCAATTTACCATCAGTCTCTTTTATTTTTTGTCTTTCTCCCTTGCCGCTAACGCCTTTCCAGGGACCGATCTGAAGGTCACTGGGATTGACTTTCTCCGGAACCAGAACTCCCGCCTGCACCACACGGATGCGTACGACATCAAGAACCTGGTGGTGCGGCGCGGGCAGCCCTTTCAGCTGCAGCTCAGCTTCAGCAGGGAGCTGAAGGCCACCGACAAGCTGGCGCTGCGTTTCGGCATTGGTAAGGGGGTCCCCCCTCCGCGGGAGAGCCCTGCCAGCCTCCGGCTGCTTTTTTTTTCACCGCGGGGTCGTCGCAGACCCCTGCAGCCCTCCCGCATCCTGCCTTGGGTTTGTTTCCAGGTGAAAACCCAATGAAAATCAGGGGGACCCTGATGTCGCTGAAGCCGAGGGAGGAGCAGGATCTCAGCGGGTGGCAAATCTCCACCATCAAGAAAAGCGACAAAGAGGTAAAGCCCACGAGCAGCGCTTTGGCACGGAGGGCAGCAATGCCAAGCCCGTTGGGAGCTACAGAGCAAATCCTCATAGCCCTGTCCCACTTTCCCTTAGCCCTATAATTTTTGGTGGGCAGCAGCGTTTAACTCATGGCAGGATGCATCCTATCCCGCCGCCTTCCCCTCTCTCCCTGCACGGACCCCACCGCCGCCAGCTTCGGCACTCGTGCCGGTCCCGCGGTGCCATGCTCGTGCCGTGCCTGTGGCCGTGGTGGAGGGTCCCTCACACCGCCTCTCCCTGTCACCTCCACAGTGCCTGGTGTCTGTCACCAGCTCCCCCAGGGCCCCGGTGGGAAAATACATCCTGAACGTCAAGACCGGGACGAACATTTACAAGCCGGAAACCAGTATCTACCTTTTGTTCAATCCTTGGTGCGAAGGTGAGTGGTCCCACAACCGGGGGTGATGACAATTACTGCTGCCGGGGGTTGTTCCTAGGGGAGCTTTTCCTTACATTTTTTTCCTCCTCTCTCTCCCACAAACATTGCTTTTTCCCCATAAAACACCGCAATCAGCATCCTCTCGGAGCCAGCGGGAAGCTGGGCAATAGCAATGAGCCAGCTCCTCGCTGGGGGGTCCCCAGTGCCGGGTTAAGGGGCATCTGCCTATCACCTCTGTCTGCACCTCGGTGTCACCCCTCTCTGCATCCCAGCACAGCGGTTAACTGAGAGGACTGGGCTGGCTTAAAATCCAGATAAAAAATTAACCAGACAAAAAACCCCCTATGTGTGTTGGTTGGCATCCGTCCCCCAGTTCTCTCTGCTGCCTACCTGCTCCACTGACGCGTCTGTTCAGAAAGAAGCGTTTTGCTAAAGTAAAACACTGCTCATGTAGCAATGGGCCTACAGGAGTAAAAGAAAGGTCAGTCTTATAGGAAATTCTTCCATGGTAGGAAAAAAAAAAGAGTGAGTGCTGCATGGTCGTCATTTGGTGTGAATGTTACAGACCACCAGCTCCCCCAGTTTAGCTTTCCAAGTAAAACTTCTTACAGCGTGTGTGCAAAGCACCTAACACCGGAGGGATGGTTTTGCTCCAGGTGATGTCGTCTTCTTGGCCGACGAGGCGCAGAGAAAGGAGTACGTCCTCAACGATACGGGCTTCATCTACGTTGGGTCTGCCTACAGCATATACGGTAGACCCTGGAATTTCGGGCAGGTAAAACGCAGCTGTCTCGTCAGCGTTAGTACCCTCATGTGCTCTTGCTCCCTCGGGCCCCCCTTTTAGTGAATCAGACCCATAAACAGTTCAAGCCCGTCAGCAGCTCAAAGCACTTTTGAATAATCCTGCCAGCTTCGCGGGGAGGGCTCCCCTGCTGAGGGTGATCTCTGCGCTTCAGGGTTTTCCCCAGGAGTCCGGGCTTTGATGGCACGTTTATAGCCACAGCCCGAGACCCCTGGCAAAGGATGTGGGAACTGGGGATGGAGCGTTTCTGGTTGTAAGGATTCCCGTAAGGAGTCCTGCCTGCTCCCGTGGCTGTCGGTCACCAGCTGTGAGCCGTGGAGAGGGCTGACGGGGAAAAAAAAAATCTGATTATTTACCTGTTGCATCACGATCGGGAAAAAATAGGGGAGAAGCGCTGGCAGAGGTGGTCACTGTTCAAATGGTGCCTTCCCCACCTGCGAGGTGAAGCGCTGGGTGCAGGGCAGACCCAGCCCACCCGCTCAGGAACGGGGCTCGCTCCTCATCCCTCGAGACCACCCCAGCCGGGGGCACGGCCAACGGCTCGGGCTAGGGACAAGAGCTGGATGCTGGAGCAGGTTTCTTTGCACCCCGTAGAAAGCACACGGGCACCCACACAGAGCATCCTGCGCCCTATCCAGACAGATTTCCCCAACCAAAAATGTTGGAATCTTTTTTTTTTTTTTCTTTGTTTTGTTTTGTTTTGTTTTATAAATCTGCGATGCTGAGCTGCAGGATACAGGTAGCCCGGCAAAAGTGCTCGCGCTGATGCCTTTTCCATGAAGGCGCCAAAGGGCATCATCCGTAGAGCTCTTCCCATCCTAATATTTCTTCTGCTGTCAGGCAACGAGAGCTGCTATTGATGCTCTGACAAGCTTTGCTGGATCGGATGTTTGACATCTCTGTGAATTCTACCTCAGAGAGCTTTATCAGCAAGTGCTTATTAGGAATCTCTTGCTGTAATAATCTGCATTTATGTACCTTTTATTTTCTCAGGGGTCATTTTGTACCTATGTCAATAGTCTGCATATCTGTAGTGCTCCTAAATTCTCATTACTCTTGTGAGTAATTAGCAGGGTGCAGGGAGATGATGTCGGTGACTTCGGACAGGGTAAAGAGTGCCGGGTCAGGTTCCAGCTGTTTCCAAGACACACAAGATGGGCTTTTGTCTTCCAAGGTGGGGTTTCATTTAAGCCCTTCTTTGGAGAGAAGAGTTTTGAGAAGCCCCACGGGCTTGAAAATTCAATATCATAAAGGGAGCTTAGAAGTTAGGGCTAGTCAGACGGTTTTCTCCAAGTACTTAGATAGAATTTGTAGTGATTGAGCAAATTTTGGTTTAGAGCGGCGTATAAAAACGTGTCCACTTTCTCTCCAAAACAGTTTGAGGAATTCATCCTGGACGCCTGCATGTACCTGCTGGACAAAAGCAAACTCAAGCTAAGCAACAGAAGGGATCCCGTCTTTGTGTCCAGAGCCATGTCTGCCTTGGTACGCCTCTTGCGCAGAAGCGCTTTGCCCCGCCAGCTCTCCCTCCTCCTTCTCGCTCTTCTTTCCCCGGGGCCTCGACCACCGTTCCAGGAGGCATCTGAAATGGGTTCCTTTGGGAAACTGCAAGGAAAGAGCCAGAGGCATTTTGGGTGGAGGGCAGTGGTGGGCGAAAGATGGGGTGTCCCCAGCTCCAACGCTTGCCACTGCCCTGGGGATGTCCGTCCTCCACCGCTGCGGTGGTAGGGCCGACACGAGGGTGGTGTTTCGGGGGGCAACTGCTCTCCGTGGCGGGACCCTTCCCGGAGCCCTGGGTTTAAGATACAAGATGCAAAGTGCCTTTCGGCCGCCCCGAGCAGCGATACCACCTCCCTTTAGATATCCAGGTGGAGGGTTTCCAACCAGGGGAGCCCCCAGCCAGCACCAGCAACCTTGCTGGGTGCCACAGGGTGGGCAGAGACCCCGGGGTTCAAGCCTTATTCAGCCTCATCCCCTTATTTTTCTCCTCGGCATGTGTGCGTGGCCACAGGTTAATGCCAACGATGACAGCGGTGTCCTGCTGGGGAACTGGTCAGGGAATTACAGCAACGGGACCTCCCCGATGGATTGGATCGGGAGCGTCGCAATTTTGCAGCAGTATTACAAAACGAAGAAGCCGGTCTGTTACGGTCAATGTTGGGTCTTCGCAGGAGTCCTCACTACAGGTAGTGAACTGTCTCCCTTTCCAGATATCTTAATTACTGTGCTAGTAACCCAAATTACTGTGCCTCTGAGTGCCGGGGGCGGCAGGATCTGTTGTGTGAGGAGAGGCTGAGTGAGCCGGGACTGCTCAACCTGGAGAAGAGAAGGCTCAGGGGGTCTTGGCCATGTGTATAAATACCCCACGGGTGGGAGCGGGGCAAACAGAGCCAGGATCATCTCAGTGATGCCCAATGACAGGACCAGAGGTGATGGGCACAACCTGAAACATGGGGAAAAAAGGTTTTTTCACTATGCGGGTGACCGAGCATGGGCACAGGTTGCCCAGGGAGGTGGTGGAGTCTCCATCCCTGGAGGTACTCAAAAGCCATCTGGACACGGTCCTGGGCACCTGCTCTACAGGCCCCTGGGTGGGCAGAGGGGTTGGACGAGACGATCCCCAGAGGCACCCACCAACCCGAGTGATTTTGTGACCCCGTGTTTTCTCTGTCTGTGCTGCAGTCATGCGCTGCTTGGGGGTCCCATCCCGCTGCGTGAGTAACTTCAACTCGGCACATGATACGGAGGACAACCTGAGAGTCGACGTTTACCTGAACGAATCTGGAGAAAAGCTGGACAGACTGTCCTTCGACTCTATCTGGTACTGTCAAAGGGGGCTAACACTTCCTACCCCTGCACCACCCCGCACCACCCCGTTTCCCAGCCCCAGAAATTCCTTTAGGAATTTCCCTGCTGCTTTGGGTTTGCTGCCTGGGAGAGTGAGAGAAAACCTGGGGTTTCACTCAAATCCCCATTAAACCTGCCCTTACTTAAGGATTAAGCGAGGAGATCGCGACTCTTCCAGCTGTAACAGCTCACTCCTTTTCTTTCCAACCCCAACGCACGCAGGAACTTCCACGTGTGGAACGATGTCTGGATGAAGCGGACAGACCTGCCGCCGGGGTTTGATGGCTGGCAGGCAATCGATTCGACCCCTCAGGAGCCAAGTCAAGGTAGGACTTGCCTAGAAAGGCTCTTCTGTAACTCCCGAGGGAGGCAGGGACGTTTCGCCTGAAAACCATGGTCCCCACTCAGCAAAGCACGTATTCCCCACGCACATCTTCACGCACTTGGGCAGTGACATCCTAAAGCTGGAGGTCTCATGCCTGCTGTCTCAGCCCGGGACGGGAGGAATGGCGTTTTTTCGGCAGGCAGAAAAGCAACCTTGTAGGATGCTGTGGGGACATGAATGTCATTTCCGAGGTTACAGCACACAGCTGGAAATCAGAGCTGATTTCTCTTTCCACCATCCTCTGACTTCTTTGGTGAAGTTGAGGGTTCAAAGCAGTCTGTACTAAGAGGGGCTACAGCTTTCCCTAGTAAAGAGGCTTTCTGTAGGGCGTTCCTGAGGAAGTCATGGGTCTGGTCGTTGGTAAATGAGAGGAGTGACTGCCCAAATTGGTGACTGCCCTCCCTGCAGGGATGCGGGGAATTTGGTGGTGGGAAAGAAAACATTAATCCTCAAGGCTGTGCCACAAGTGGGGTATTGCTAGGAGATCAAACACAGATGGCTGGACTCGGTTGACTCCATCACCGAGCCATGACTTTCAAACCTTCAAATTATTCAAGTGAGGGCAAACACATAAATGTGTTCACCAAAGCTTGGTCATCTATAAAAAAGCCCAAACAGCTGTGGGATAAATGGGGGCTTTTGGAGTTCATCACTGAGCTGGAGGAATATTTACTGCTAAGAGTCAACTACCATGGCCACAGATTCCTGCTTGGGTGGGTCTGAGGGTGGGAAAAAAAAAATAAAATTGGAGGCTCTGCTCATATTTGGAAAAGCAAATGGTGTTGAATGTGCTCTCTAGGTATTTTCCAGTGTGGTCCATGCCCGCTGAAGGCTATCCGAGAAGGAGATGTGTATTTGCCCTTCGACAGCAAGTTTGTGTATGCAGAAGTGAATGCTGACAAAGTCTACTGGTTGGTCAAGAAGGTGAACGGCAAGGATAAGTACACCAGGATCAACACGGAGACCCAAGGCATCGGCTTGAACATAAGCACAAAAGCCGTGGGGCAGGACAAGCGGGAAGACATCACCGCGCAGTACAAGTTCCCCGAAGGTGACTCCCCCATCCTCTAAAGTAGTGCCAAAGAGGAGACCCCCTGGTCACGTAGGTCACCCCACAACTCCTGGTCTCTCCAGGAGGGAAGCACGGGGGCAGCTGCAGTGGCAAACCGGGTGTAAGGCTGGGGGACCTGGGGGAGGCAGCCCTGCGCCTGGGCATCCTCCTGCCCGCAGCGACGCCGATAGGATGCTCTGTAGGGGCAGGTGCGAGCAAGCTTGCAGGCAGTGACAGAAATGGGCTCAGTCACCAACCTAATGGTTGGACTCACTGTTGCTTCATTATTTCTTCATTCTTCTTTTTGTCTTTCCCTTCCCCAGACCATATTGGAAATAAAAAACCCGCCCCCACGTTCCCTCCCCACGGTTCTCGGATCCAGCCATGTTGTGCTAGACTGTTAAACCCTTCCCACTGAGGAGCGGGAAAATACTAGGTTGAAAAATTTAAGACCAGCCATCCTGTAAAAGTGTCTCCTTCAGGAAATTCCTCCAGTCCAAAATGCTACAGTTAGCTCCGGTGGTAGCATGACCCGGGAGGGTGTCCTGAGCAGAGGCTGGAGGTGCTCAGCACCAGAAGCATAAAGGGAAGGCGGGTCTGGGTGAGGAGACTGAGCTACAGCCATCACCCATCTTTTTTCTCCATCCAGGCTCGGAAGAGGAAAGGAAGGCCATGCAGAAAGCTACCTCCTTCATACAACCTTCACGAATATTACCTCGTGCGCGCTTCGCTTCGACTTTCCCCGCGGCAGACAGGGGCTCCAAGCCTGAGGTGCTGCGCGAGGCAGTGCCCGAGTCCGGGCTCCAGCTGGAGATAACCAAGAAAGCAGCTTTGTACCCTGGCAGTCCCCTTGAACTGGCCATCACGGTGAAGACCTCTGCTCCCGGGAGCTGGACCGTCAATCTTGTCGGCTCCTGCCAGCTGCAGTACTATACTGGGAAAGTTGAGGCCAACCTTGGATATGTCAAGGAGACCGTCAAGCTCGAAGGCAAATCTGGTAGGCACGGAAAACTTGCTGTCTTCTAGGGACTATTTACTGCGGCAGCCCAGGGCTTCGCTCGAGCTGGTTCGTAGCAGCTCTGCTGTAGGTCCGGGCACGGCTCCGTACGGCACGAGGAGCAGACATCGCCTGCCTGCTACCTGCGTCTGGTGTTACTGCCCTTGGGAGGCTCCGTTATAGACTGGGATCCCACCGTAGCAGGGACCAAAACGTGAAGGCCCTGTCCCTGCTGCAGCTTCACTGAGACGGTCAGAAACACGTCGGTGTGGGGAGGTTTTCAGGGTGTGAGCGGGGTGTGCTGGAGCATCTCCCGTCCTCCCTGTGTAAGCATCAAGGATGCCATCGCAGCCTTCGGGCGCATCCCTGTGAGCCAGATCCCCCCCAGGACTTAGATGGCTGGAAATTCCAGCCTTTTTTTGTTCCTGTGCTTGCCGCTCTAATGTTGGTCATGGCGGTGAGTTTTATTTTCTGAATTCTTCGCCCAAGCACATTTCAATCTCATGGTTGCCTGCCTGGCTGATCCCAAGAGCTGTTTGCTGTTCATTGCCTATCTTTGAGTGACCTGGGCTGCATTTCTGATCCCCAGCGATGTGATTGAAATTTCCTAAACAAGAGACTAACGAGTGATGAATAATTAACAGCTCTTGCTCATTCCAAGCGTGAGTCACTCTTGCCAAAAAAAAAATATCTGTGCTGCCGGTGATTGCTGAGTGTTTTCATTCATACACTGTGGCTGTCAAAAAGCAGCAGGGTGGGACACAAAGGCAGCTACATACATTTCGCCGTAAGGACAGGCATTTTTATTTTTTTTGATTCCCACAAGCCAGGAAGCCTTGCCGCTAAAGCAATGTTCAGGCTCCAACGCCGCTGACTCCAGGGCTTTTCCAAGCCACTGGAAGTTTGTCCAAGCAATTAGAGATAAAATCTAAAGTGAACAGAAAGCCACTAATTTTACAGCAAGCAGTGCCTCAGAGAAACCCCGGGGGATGCGGGCTTAAACGTACCCCACCGCACGCTCCTCTGCCTCCTCCTGCGTGCCGGGGCCGAGGGCTGCTGAGGGCTGGAGGAGGTGAGCCCCAGCCAGCGCTGGGCTCGGGGGGCGATGCTGTGGGCTCAGCCTCCCTTCCCGTGGGCTGCATCGGCTGGGTACCACCACCCCACCCGGGGACACGGCCCCCAGCTCCATCCAAAAGCAGGATGGTCGCCGCAAATAGGTCTCATCCCGCACCCTGGGACAGCAGCCACCAGAGCTGACTTTGCCACCCAATTCCTGGGCGTGTGATGAAGCACCGAGTTTTGTTTTCTCTCCCGCAGAGATGCAGGTCCCTCTGAAAATCCCGGCCGACACGTACATGAAGACGCTGGCCTTGGTGGAAGACGAAGTGCTCATCCACATCACAGCCATTGCCGAAGTCCAGGGGACAAATGACAAACTGACCAAGGAGACGACGATGAGCTTCGAGTACCCCCCCATCACCATCCAGGTGAGGCAGCCGCCAGCCCGGCTCCTCGGGGATGAGGGGTAAAAGCCCAGCTCACCGTAACACCGGGGTTCATTCCCGGCAGGATCTCCCAAACTGCTTCCTCCTGGGATGCTCTGTCCTCGGTGGTTTATTTGGCTGTTCAACCTTTATTTGAAGGTTGAAAGCAGCCATGAAATGAAGATTTTTATCGGCCCATCTAAAATGGGCAGGCAGGGGCTGCTGGAGGGAAGGGGGTGTAAGAGGACAGTTTGTACGGGGCCCATCTCCGATCCCACAGCTCTGCTTCCCAAAGGAAAAAACGTGTTGAGAAACCAGAGAGCAGAGCTGTGGGAAAACAGCTGGTGGGGCAGAGGACACGGTGCTGCGGAAGGGTGGAAAGGATTTGAGGGGGTTGTACCCCACCACGCTGGTGGTGAGGAGCAAACCTGCAGCAGCTCCGCATCCTTATTACCCCTCTGATCCCCGGTATTTGGGTTTGTTTCTCTCTTTCCTCCTCTGCCAGATGCCAGAAACAGCCCAACTGAACAAGGAGTTCCCCTGTGCCTTCGTCTTCACGAACAAGCTGAACGTGCCCCTGGACAACTGCAAGCTGGTGGTGGAGGGCTTGGGCATATTTAAGATGACAACGTTTGATGAGGGGTAAGGAGAGGAGCCCAGTGTGAAATGAGCGTGGCAGGACTCTGTTTCTTTTTTTTTTTTTTTCCATTTCCCTTGAAGAAGCCGTTAGGGGATTTGGAGTAGCAGGGCCCCTCGCAAGCCGTGTCCAAAACCGCAGGACGTTTGGGCACAGCCGACGCCGCAGAAAGAGCCAGGCAGAGGTTGGTGGGCTCAGGGCATTGGGGCACGGCGGGGGCTCTCCCCGTGCTCCTGCTGCGATGCCGGGTGCTGCCCGGCCAGCGTGAACACAGCTGCTCCCTTCAGAGCCGGATTTAGTGCTTCAGCAGCATGGGGACGTCTGGGGAAGGTCCCCAGGACCGCCAGGACCACCAGCCAGCACCACCGTGCTGAGCACCACTTACTGCACCTCGGTCATGGGAGAAGGGAAGCACCCACCCTAAACACAGGCAGCAGCTACTTCTTTAAGTGAAACAATTCGTAAGTAGCAAGTAAGAACCGTAACTCATGCTGGGACTGTTTGTTTTTTCTTTCTCCTTAGGGATATAAAGCCTGGAAGGATCATGAAGTCTGAAATAACATGCACTCCGACAAGAACAGGAGAGAGGAAAATAGTAGCCAAGCTGACCTCGACCCAGATCAAAGCCATCTCTACAGAGAAGAGCATCACCATCACCGAGTAGGACCAGTGCCTCGGCGGGGTGTAAGCGCTGGCCGTGCTGGATGCACAGCACCGCGGCGTGTCTTGAGCTCTTCTTGCAGCCCTGGTTGCCGGACAGTACTCTCGAAGTGAAGAGCAAAAATCCCACAAAGCAAAGGGAATTAAACTGACTTAACAGGCACAGGTGCATTGATTGCAGTTAATTGTGACTCAATAAAGACCGCTAAAATCGACTGTGTGATTGGGATGTACGATATCGCCGGGTTGGGATGGCTCTGAACCCCTGCGGGGCGTTCCCACCTCAGGCCCGGGATCGGAGCTCGCG